GACCTGCTCAAAGTCGGACACGCCCATCTTCGCATAGATCTGCACCTGCTCCTCGGACAGGGACAGCTGCTGCCCAGACGGAGGCCCCTTAGCCCACGCGCCCAGATCACGATTGCCACTGCCATTGCCGAAGGATACGTCGGGTTGCCGCCCTGCTGGGCGACCGCATCTGAAGCAGTTCTTGCGCCAACTGTAGTTATACTGGTAACCGCACCTCTTGTGGCCACAACACCAACGAGAGAAATCAGGAGCCCCAGCTGGAGCCATGACTGCGCCGTAATGGTGAGGACACAGAGAGCGGTTTCCCGCACAGTACGCGGTGTGTGGTGGTAAGAAAGCAGTCGGGGGCCGCAAATCCCCCACGCCACAAAAACTCAGTCCCTTGAGCAATGCCTCCGGACTTGAGCCAAACGGACTCCTCCTCCGCCTCCGCCTCCGCCTCCGCCTCCGCCTCCGCCTCCGCCTCCGCCTCCGCCTCAGGGGGTGCAAGCACTGCCGGAGTTGGTCAGAGCGCGCGGGACCTGAACGCCAGAGCTAGGCCAAGTGACGGGCGCCTCCGCCGTGTCGAGGGGGTCGGAACCCAGCGGCATTGGGGGAGAACGAGCCAGACACGGCCAAGCCGGGCGGTTTCTGGGGACCAGGGCCCAAGGAGTGCAAGCACAAGCGCCAAAACTGGTCAAAACGCGCGAGCCGAGGACGTCGCGAAAGGCCGGTGCCAGGGGGCCACGCCAGGCCGTGGCGGGGTCCTAACGCGGACCGGAGTGAAAACAACACAAGGACGGCCGAGGCCGCACGGCGCGCCGTGCTCTGCCCCAACGGAAACAGCGTGCCCGGTTTGGACGGCGACTGGGGGCCAGTTCCCCGAGCCAGGGGCCGGGGGGCCAGGGCGGCCCTGGCTGGCAGCGAGGAACTGGGCCGCGCTGCAGCCAGTGCTGGAGGCAAAGAGGGGCCGATGCCGAGGGGCCGAGTCAGGCCGTAACCAGGTCCAGGCGGAGGCCGGAGTGAAACCAACTACAGTAGCGGCCATGGCCGATGGGCACGCCGTGCCCGCCCTAGCGGGTCCCGCGAGCCCGGTATTGACGGCTCCAGGGGAGCGTGCCTCAAGGGCGAGGGGCCCTGCCAGGTGCCGCGAAGGCCACCGCCGAATGACTCTTGGCTGCCAGTTGGGGCTGAAGGCCACTGCAGCCAAGTGAGGTGAAAGCCACTGTAGCATTGCAGCTGATGACGGGCACTGAGCCGAGCCGACTGCATCTGTCACCAGCCCGCGCGACGTGCCGCTGGGGGCAGCACCAGGGACTGGCCCGCTTGTGCGGGGGGCCGTCCAGGCACTGCGGGCGACCGCAGTCGACGGCAGCACGCTCCAACCAAGCAACTGACCTGCCAAGCATGAGAGGGAATCCATCCAGGCCGCGGGCGAGACAAAATGTTGGGATAGCTGCCAGGGGCGACTAACGGTCGCACAGTTGGTGCAGATGGGGGGGGGGAAGGCAGGGCGGGAACGCAGGCCGAGGGAAGGAGAGAGGTGCCCAGCCGCGGGCGCGCATCCGTCGGGAGAGCTGCCAGGGACGATTAACGATCGCCCTGTCTGTGAAGAGAGGAGGGAGGGAGAAACGCTGAAATACTAGCCAGGGACATGGGCAGAGCTGTAGTGACTAACGGTCACCGTTACTTGAACAAGAACCTCGGGCGGGTGGTTCCTTGCCGAGGGGACCTAGTGCCACCTGGATCTCTTGTCGTCATGGTCGACGTTGTCACTATTCGTCCTGCCACGCTTGCCTCCGTCGTGCCAGTCGTGATCCTGCCAGGATTGCCATCCTGTCTGCCAGGGCCACTCTCCCTGCTGATCCCATGGCATCGCGGATGGCGTCCCAGTCGACGTTGAGCCCCATCTTCTGGTCCATGGCGTAAGGCGTCGTAGCCCGCCCTCCGCCAGGCGTCCGGGAAGTCCTTGCAGGTCTGCATCTGGTTCAAGAAGGGGTCGCTCTTGGGCTTGCCTTCGGAGCGCGGGAACTTCTGTGCGTAGCCGTGCCAGATCCCGTTGAAGGCGCCTCCCAGCACCTTCTGGAGACGTGCAATCATGTCAGCAGGCTGCCCCCCAGTCCGTTCCAGGTGGGCCTTGCCCAAGTGCTCACGGTACATGGGTCTTCTCGATCTGGGGTCGCGGAGGTTGTCGAAGGCATATGAACGGCTGCCGCGAGGGGAGGTCGCAGGGCGCCTGCGGTCGCCGTAGCCAGAAGGCGCTGCGCGTCTGTCTGCGGTATGTGGGCTCTGCGCCGGCCAGCAGCTGTGGCCCTGCTGCCTCCGCGGCGGCAGCGTCTCTCGTCTGGGGCTGGCGGGCCCTAGGGGCGTCTGCCGCCAGGGGCGTCTTAGGCGCTGGCGCCCCGAAGGCCCCGGGGGGGAGCTGTCCTCTGGAGCCATCTCCCTGTCGTCTTCGAGGGGGCCGCCTGGGGCGGGCGGTTGGTCGTCGCGCTGATTGGTGTCATCGTCAGCGTCAACCGCCACGCTCGGCGACGGCGCTGCGTAGGATTGTGACTCGTCGAAATCAATGGAGTCCTTCTCTGTGGCAGAACCGATTATCTTTTGGTGGCGCGGGGGGGCCCGGTGGCTCTTCGTCTCGCGCAGGTTCACCGCTGGGGGTCAATCCCTTGCGCCGGCCCTGCGGTGGCTCCACACCTGTAGCCGGCCATCCTCGTAGCCGGCGGGCGCTGGAAAGGCGCCCTGGCTCGTGCGGTGTCCAGAGTGCCGCTCTGGTGGGGACTCGCTGGCCTCTGGCTTGAGGGAGAGCCAGGCCCCCGCTCTCCCGTCGGTTGCGGATTCCAAGGCGGTCTCGCTGTTGTCGTTGTCCACTGGGTCCCGGAGCGCGAGTTTGGCGATGGTGGCCGCAGCGAAGGCGCTGTCGTGGAGACTCCTCAGGAAACCGAAAGGGGCTGGGGCCCCTTTTCCCGCGCCAGGGAGGAATAGTATTCCTGCCAGGTGTCCTTGTGGTGTGGGTTGCTGATGAAGTGCTTTGCCACCCTGGCGGCTGCCCAGCGCTTACCGTCCCATTCGAGGTGGGGTGGCTGGCCGTCTGCTGGCAGCTCCTGGCCGTGCAATAGCGCCAAGAAGGGTACTAGGCTCTTGGCCGGCCAGGATGTTTCCTGATCCCCGGGTCAGGGATGTCGGCTTCCTGGGCAACCACGAAGTTGTGCCAGTGAGTGCCCACATCGGGATGGAAGTCACGGAGGTAGGTCACGAGGACATGCTGCACGTCTCGTACCTTGTTGGTCCTACAGCGCTTCTGCTCGTCTTCTGCTGCCAGGCGCAGGTCCACGGCTCTCCTCGAGCTGAGCAGGGGGAAGCTGGGCGGGTCGAGGTCGGGCAGGAGGGCAAATATGTCTGGGACCGACCTGCTTGGGGAGCCGCTATCGCTGCAGCTCTCTGCCACTCCTCTGGTGCTCCGTGCTCCCCGTGCTGTAGGGTCTCTGGAGTACCTGTCCCTGGCGGCGGCCCAAGCGCGGTTGGTGGGCAGCTGGTCGGCGACGTCCAGGGGAGCTTGCTCCACGATGTCCTGGTGTGGTCTCTTGGCAAGGTTTGTCGGGTAGGCCTGCTGCCCACTCAGCGTTCCATCTCCGCTCCTGCCAGGCCGACTGCCCCTGGTCCGAGGGAGGGAAACCAGAGCTGTCTTCGTTCTGCCCCTGCTTTACGAAACGAAACCAAAACGAACCGTCGGCCCACGGAAACGCCCAGACACCGCTCAGCTCGAGCCTTGGCCTGAACCCCCCCAGCCCCCGGGACCGGGCCGTCTTTGAACGGTCCTGGGGCCCGGCGCCTCCTCCTTGTCCTCCTCCTCCTCCTCCTCCTCCTCTCCTCCTCCGCCTCCTTCTCATCCTGCTTCTCCTCTCCTCTCCTCTCCTCTCCTCTCCTCCTCCTCCTCCTCCTCCTGCTCCCCCTCCCCCTCCCCCTCCCCCTCCTCCTCCTCCTCCTCCTCCTCCTCCTCCTCCTCCTTCTTCCTCCTCCTCCTCCTCTCTCTTTCTCCTCCTCCTCCTCCTCCTCCTCCTCCTCCTCCTCTCCTCTTCCTCCTCCTCCTCCTCCTCCTCCTCCTCCTCCTAGTGCCCCCCAAAGGTTGAGAGCAGCAGAAGACTGCTCGCCGTGATCTGCTCCACGACGCGAAAAAGGAGGGCCTGGTGAGGGCCGACGCCCCCCGAGCTGATGCGGCAGCACTCCTCGCGGGGGCGGCCGAGAGCGGGGCGCCCACAAACCGACGAGCGAGTTCCACTACTCGCAAAGTAACTGCTCGCCAATGGCCGGGATCCGCCGCGGGGGATCTGCGATAAGTTACATCGAAGCAGGCACATGTTTTTTTTTTTTCGGACGTTTGCGAGTATAGGCACTTTGCGAGTATCGGAACGCGATCGGTGACACAATGGGGGGGGATCTTGCGAGTAGGCACTTAGCGAGAAGTGGAACGCGCTAGGTGACAGAAAGGGGGGGCGCAACTCATGGCCGGCGGCGTGAGGGGTGGGTGGGGAAGGGGACATCTCGCACAGAGAAAAGGCGCCATGAAACCTGGGGAGATGTCGTTACAGTGGGGGCCCGACCACAAGTAACCCTCCACGAGAAACCAAACCCTTATACCTCATCACGTCCATGGTTTTTTGGTGTGGGAACGTCACGTCTTCCACCGCGAAACCCTCGGAACCCAAGAAACCCAGGGCACCCTGGAAGCAAGCAAAATGTTTCTTGGCATGGGTCTCTCCACTGTACGTGTAGTCGGCCACACGTCGATCCTGGCACAAGATCGGCCCGGCCAGGGCTGGCGCGATGGATGGCTGACCAAGGCCCCCGAGGCCAGGAATTCGCACAACGCCGACCCCCAGAGGTCTCAACCAGGGCTCGAGCTAAACAGTGTTTCTTGGCATGGGTCCAAAAATAATAAAAAAACTCGTCCCCAGACCATCCTTTGTCTATTTTTGACCCGACTTAACCCTAGTCATCACCCCCCTCCCGACCCCGAACTCCAGGCGGCGCCGCGCCACGGCCAGGTGGAGCGCGCTGGCCATGTCGCGGTCCACGGCGTCGGCCGCGCGGAAGAAGGCGCTGCCGAGCAGGGCGCGGCACACGTCCTCGAGTGGCAGCGCCGCGGGGGCGGGGGGGAGAGAACCAGCTCCGGGGGGGGGGGGAGGCATCGAGCTGGAATCCCAGCGAGGATCCTCCTCCTCCTCCTCCTCCTCCTCCTCCTCCTCCTCCCCCCTTTAGTCCTATCACGAAATGTTCTTGTGACCAAGAGATGTTCTCAGGACAAAATTAATGCTCTTAGAATGGAGGAGCGAGGCTCTCGGAACACTCTTTGGTGGGCCTATAGGCAATCCAAGACGCCTCGCCACGGCTAGAACAATGGGCCAACACACGTCCTGCGGACCATCGATCCCGAATCTCCGACTACCTGCTTTTTCCAACCAGGCTTTTTCCCTCGGCTTCGGCCCGAGTTAATTTTTGTCTACTTTTTTCTGATATCCCTCCTGTAGAGGGACAGGCCCGACTTAACCCCTGGGGCTCTCGGTCGGGCCCTATATTGAGACCTTCAGCAAACACGGCTCTGGGACGCACGTCGGACGAGGCCAGAACGAGGACAACGTCGGGCGAGGATACATCGAGAACCTCTGAGAGCCAGCGGCTCTGGAAAATGTCTCGGGCGCCGCGGCCTTCCCAGTGCATTTCCAAAACGCTCTCAGAACGTTCCGGACTGCGCACGGAACAAACCGGAGGGGCGTAAAGGTGGGGTAATTAAGGGCAGAGCTGGGGCTGGAGGAGGAACATCGCTCCAAACGGCCCCCAGAAGAAGGAAATGAATGCATCCAGCTGGGTTCGTCCCAGGACCCCATCTTGGGGTATCCCCGAACAAAGCATTGTGGATGTCAAAAGGACCGGGTCCGGGGGGGGGGCACCTCGAGCCGGAATCGGCGAGGCACCGCCGATAGCTCGGCGACACGCCCCCGATGGCGAATTTCCGCACGCTCCTAGGGTTAGGTCGGGCCTGCCCCCCTACAGGCGGATTTTGGACGAACAGCAGACACCTGTCCAAAAATATTCAACAATGAACAAACCAATACACCAAAGATCGTCCCCAGACCATTTCCTTGACTACTTCCGAGTATTCCTCCTGTAAAGGGACAGGCCCGACTTCATCCCAGGGGGCTGGGGGCCATCGGGCCCCCATCGGCGATGCATCAGCCATGGGGGCACGTGCCTCCCCGCCCGACCCTGTCCCGGGCTGACGTTGCCCCCCAGTTTTCAGGCCGCACGTGCAACTCTGAAGGGGCCCTGGGACACACAAACAAACAGGCACAAACAACAGGATTCCCCTATTCTCCCACATCTTCTGGGCTTCTGCCTTCCCCCCCCCCACTCCCCATATTTTCCTACACTTTCCTGGGAACGGACGATTGATTGTGTCTGTGTTTTTTTCCCCCTCGGAGAAGGCCCGTTTGAGACACTGGGAGTTTGAAATCGGCTCAAAATCGGTCCCCGGACCCCTCCCGGGGTCCAAGCGCACTCGTTTTTCGCGCTGCGTCCGGCCGTGGCGGCGAGTGGGGCCCCCCGAAGGCCACCTGTCGGTGCCTCACATGGGCCTCCTCGGATCCCCCCCTCCTGAAGCTCGGGCCTCCGGCGGCCCTTCGCGACGACCCCGGCACCCTCGACGCCCTCGGCGAGGCGCAGCCGCTGGAAGCCTTCCCCGAGGCTCGCGCACCGCCGAGAGCCGACGCTGGCCATCGCTCGGACGTCCACTCCCTGTGCTTTTTTTTGGGTCTCGTGCGTGGTTTTTTCGCCAAGTGATCAAGGATGCTCCTCGATGGCCCTCGCCGAGGAAAAATGCACACGTCCGAGCGATGCCAGGGACGAGAACATCCGGAGACCTCGAGCTTCGAAGGGGGGAAACCCGAGGGCAACCCTTTAGCCGACCCAGATCGGACAGGACACGCGGGAGGACACAAGACCCTTCCGAGGGCCACATTGCGGTAGGAATGCAGGAGGCACGGGTCGCGAGGCACAGGGCACCAGAATATCCTTGATCTGGCAGGGTCGACCTACTACTCCGGGCCGCCTGTGCCGCTGCTCCCCCGGACCTCTCCCAGGGTGCGCTCCGACCAGGACCTCGAGGCGAACCCCGCGGGGGCGGCGAGGGGCCCCCCCGGGAGGCCCCAGAGGGGGAAGAACACGACGCAAGGTGGCGGCATGGGCACGGCAAGCTGACGTCGTGCCGACCCGGGCGTTGGCTCCTGACACCGCGGCGATCGTTCAACCTTGAACGATCGGCCGCTTGCGGGCCGTCCGATGGTTCAACACCGACCGATTCTTGGCCGCCGCTGGCGTTCAGAAATGAACGCCGGCGGCGGGGTCGCCGCCGGTCGGCACGACGCGAACATACCGTGCGCTGGGTTTCCTGGAGATTCTGAAAGACATCCTGACCATTGCGGAGGAACTCCTGAGGACTTCATCGGAAACCGCCTGGAACCATACGACTTCCTCCAAATCCCATAGGGGCCCCTTACGATTTCAACTGAGATTCCTGAGGATCTTGAAGATTCGATCGGAAATCTGGAGGGCTCCCGAAATCCCTGGAATGCCCTGGGACCGCACCTTTTCCCCCCCCCCCCCGACGAGAAGCCCCCGGGTCCTCGAGGTCCCCCAGCACGGCGAGGTGCAGCATGGTGCGCCCGGCGGCGTCGGCCAGGTTCGCAAAGTTGGAGGCCCAGTCGCGGTCCGCGAGGGGCCGGCGGCGCGCCCACCGCCGGGGGGGGGGGGGGAACGCGGGGCAGAGGGGGGGCGGTGCCTTCCCTGGCTGCTTGGTTTCAATCGGGCGTGCCCCCTATAAGCGGATTGTGGACGAAAGATGAACAATAGCCCAACAATACCTGAAACAAGCATTCAACAAAAAGAGTCAAAAAATCGTCGCCAGACTATTTTGGGACTATTTTGGAATATTCCCTGTAGAAGGACACTCCCAACTGAAGGGCAGACGGGGGGGGGGCGAGGCCTGCCCTGGCTGCCTGGTGCTCGTGGGCGGGAAGGGGGCCCTCCTGCCATCGCCCGAGGCCTCTCGGAAGACAAGGGAAGGCTGGCAAACCTGTGGCTGCTAAAACAGAGCTCCGTGTCTTTATCCGTTTTTTGTTTGCTGTTTGGTGCGCTGAGTTTCACTCCGGGGATTTGTGCTTTTCCTCCGGGGAGACCGTTGGAGCAGCCACGGATTTGCCAGCCCTCGCCCAGCTTCCGAGCCTCCTAGATGGGGTCGGAGGACCGCGCCGCATCGCCGATACAGCGGCGACGCCAGCGTGGCTACACACTGAGCCGCATCACCGATGCATCGCCGATGCGTTGGCGATGCGGGGCGATCCTTTGACCCCATCTACTCCTACCCCATTTAGGAGGCCCAGAATCGCTCGGGAGTCCACTTCCCGCGCATCTTTTTCGGTCTCGGGCGTGGCTTTTTTTGTTGCCAGGGATCTAGGGGGCTCCTCGACGGGCCTCGCCGAGGAAAAGGGCACACGTCCGAGCGATGCCGAGCAGCACAATCAAGCCGTACCCGCCGGCCCCCTTGTGGGGCCACCAGGCTGCAGGACGAAGTGTGCTGCTCCATGCACCCACCACTTGCAATTTCAAATCTCCAATGTTACAATCTTGCTTTCTGCTTCCTACCGTGAAGTTGAAGTCCGCGCGGGGTGGGGAGCCGCCGAACCACCCGGTCACCACGCCCGGATCGCGTGCTCTGAATTCCTGGGGGGGCGTGTGACATGTGCAAATACATGAGACTCGCGCCCCCGAGGCCATAATCCCTGGTAAATTATGCAACATTCACGTCCCCGAGGCCATGAACCCTTGCAAATTGCACCACATTCGCATTGCCGAGGCCAAGAGTGCTCCAATGCGCTCGAAGATGGTCCCAAGACGGCCCAAAAGGGCCCGAAGAGCGCTCCAAGAGGCCTCCTGAAAGAGCCCCAGGAAGCCCAAATCGTCGATTCCTCAATCGGCTTTGAAGGATTTTGGCCTTTTCGCGTTTTCAGCTGTCCGACCCTCCAAGACGGCTCAAGAAGCCCCCAAGACCGCCCCAAGACAGCCCAAGAGGCCTCCAAGAGGGCCCCAAGACGGCCCAAGAGGGCTCCAAGATGGCCCAAGAAGTGCTCAAGACGACCCAAGAGGGCCCCAAGAGGGGACCAAGCAGGGGACCACGAACCGAAAATTCTGTATTTGTGCCCCGAGAAGCCCCAGGAGGCCCCAAGAGGCCGCCAAGAGGTCCTAAGAGGCCCCAAGAGGCGCCCAAGAGGCCACCAAGAGGCCCAAAAGACACCCCACGACACCCCAAGACGTATACAAGAGGCCTTATACCCACAATCAAGGCACGGTGGCGGGATGGGCCGAAGGCTACTGGGATCCGCCGCCCCCTGCTTGCAGGGGTGCACGGCGTGCTGGACGTTTCAGGTTTTGGTTTTGGTTCTTTTTCTAAAAGAACTCCCCAATGGGCTTCGGCCCGTCCCGCCGGCCACCCGTAATTTTCCCAAAATCCGTCTGTCAATGCCTTTGTTGCCCCAACTTGGCCCAAGATGGCTCCAAGACGGCCAAGATGGCCTCCAAGATGCCTCCCAGACGGCCAAGATGGCCTCCAAGACGGGTAAGATGGCTCCAAGATGCCTCCAAGACGGCCCAAGATGCCCTCCAAGACGGCCAAGATGGCCCCAAGATGCCTCCAAGATGGCCCAAGAGGCCTCCAAGACGTTCTCCAGGAGAGCCCGAAGAGGCCAAAATCATTGGTTTTCCTTAGGTTTTTGAAGGTTTTTTGCGTTTTCTTCTTTTCGGCCTTCCGACGGCCCAAGAGGCCCCCAAGATCGCCC